AAGGCCACCACAAATCTCTTTTTCCGTTGCGGTTCTGGGAAGCCCGATATCTTGACCTGAGAAAAGGGGGAAACGATGAGGGTTTCCGCTACCCAACGATGCATTTTTTTTTTTACGTTCGCTGGCGACAAGGCCATCCCCAACCCTCACGCCTGGATCCCACGCAGTACCGCATGCTGCCAGCATGTTGGGTAACCCCCCTGGTCCATCGTTGTGGAACGTAGCCTGGGCCGGCGAAAACCCGGAGGACACATCGCTCCGTCCAGCATGCGAGGTCTATGGCCTACCGACTACGGCCTGCGTCTACTTGACTTTAACCCATTCCCATGCGGTTGAATGCGACTGTTTTCTCTCTCCTCTGCTAGGTGGAGGGCCAGGAGGGGGGGGAAGGCTGTGGATGCGTGGCGGTGGCCCTGCGGCCGGGGCAAGGGCGGCCGGTGGCGGCGGTGGCGGGATGCTGGAGAGGGACGGGCAGATGGGCCTGGATCTCAAGGTGAGACTACCCCCAGGACTTGGCTGGGTCTACTACTGGGCGTTTCGTAGACGGCGCCTTGCGACAACCGCCCGTCACAGCAAGCGATTCGCCGTTTGGATTTATTGCCACAAGATTGTGGCTGAGCTAGCGCCGGTTGCAGCTCGAATTTTCTGTACAGGGCACCCTTCGTCTTGCGAAAGGAGATGTTGCGGGTTCAGACGCCGCCAACAAGTACAATGAAATACCCCCCGCGCCTGGTTTGGTATGTCCCCGGGGTGGGGTCAAGGTTGGCTTCGGGCTTGTGGGTGGCGCTTTTTGGCACTGCCGCCGCCGCCGCCGCTGTTGCTGTTGCTGTTGCTGTTGCTGTTGCAGCTGCTGGTGGTGGTGGCGTTGTCAGTGGTGTTGTTTTGTTGTTGATGCTGTTGTTGTTGTTCATGATCGTGGTGACGATGACGACGACGATGATGAAAAGATGTCACCAACACTAAACAATTCCGCCGCTTCTTTTCCAAATGCTGGCTTTATTCCCACGCATTGTTGTTCCCCAATTGTTCTGGAGGCGGGAAAAAAAAAAATCGTTTCGAAGACCGTCAATTGATGACAAGACGCCTGCCGCACGCTTTCATCATTGGCCACAGGTGCTTACGATGGGCCTGCTTGAGTTGCTCGTGCTACCCGTCTGGGTCGGTGTGGCCGCCGACCTGTTATCGCTGCCGCTCCTGGCGTCGACACTGGAAGCACGGGCAGCTTGGGGTCTGGCCAACCCTTTCTCCTCCCTCGCTCTTCACTGGTGAGGGAGAAGTCTCTACCACGTCGGTCCGATACAACACTTGGTTTTTTCTTTCTTGACCTCACAGAACGGGCCCATCTCTACCCGCGGATAAGAGTCCAGGGTAAATCAGCAGTGAACCCATACTGTTAGCGGAAGCACTATACCCGGCTCCCCGAGCAGCATGTAGCGATTTGTCCGCTGTGGGTAAAAGGCTCTGCAAGGCAGTTCGGTGGCCATCTTGTGCATGCATCTTGTGTCGTTTGTTTGTGTGTTTGAGGATTCCACCGGGCGAACCGGCTGAGCGATGGAAGGACATCAGCCCATGTTTGTGCGTATCTGCTTCCGTAGATAAGACTCCCACTCCATCGACCCTTGAAGAGTAGCGTTCCACTAGAGGAACGTCACCCGTTTGCGGCTTTCGCTGTTTCGCTGTTGATGGCGACACTTTTTGGAGCGTCCTTTCTCAGCGTTTACCGCTGTTGTAGCATTTAGCCTGTAGACACTGTTTCGTACCCAACTGCTCTTTCGTCAAGTTGACCCGTGTTGCTCATCGACCATGTTCTACGATTGAGCGTTTCTGACGTCCGCTGCAAACGTGGAACTCGTTCAAGATGTAGAATGCCTGTATCCCCCCCCCTCCCCCCCCAACCTCTCGAGGAAGCGCGTTCAGTTGTGTAGCAACGAAGGCATGAGGACTTCCCCATCTGTCCCAGGGACGAAAAGAATTTCATGACCCCCTCCCCTCCCTTACAACTGTTTCTGGAAGTGAAAGCATCAGTAAGTCAAATCAATGCAGCTAGCATCCGCATGCATGGCAATTAGGCACACGATACAGCCGGATGCAGCGCACCCTTCATGCGACTCATCAGTCGGCGCTTCGCGCTTGGTCCCTACAACCCCTGGTGTTTACCATCGGGGTTGGGTTTTCGTCGCTTGGCAACGACGTTGTAAAACAAGCCGCCCCCCCCGGTGTTTGCCATCGGGAGTGGGTTTTCGTCGCTTGGCAAGGACGTTGTAAAACAAGCCAATTCACTTCGTGAACTCGGCAACCAGGTTGCCGTTTTTTTTTTTTTACCTCCGTTTTTTTTTT